TGTTACTAATAAAGTGTGTAATCAAAGATACTGAAAAAAATAATAATATACAATGATGGCACAAACACAAAATGTGAATACTAAATATTTTCATGATAGAAATTAATGACTTTCGGGTTGCCAGGCCCTAAAAATAAAGCAAAGCTTTAATATATATATATATATATAGTGTGTAATTATAAGGTTCTTGTTGTTGAAATGAGTCCTCCAGTATGCCATGTTCAAGATTGTGACGAATGCCTACTTGGCACGGTAAAACATTTTTTTATATGCTCAAATAAATCTTGTGTACTAAACAAATTAAAAAAAATGAAGCTGTTTTCTAAAAGAATCGCGTTTTTGGTTTATTGAGATGTTTTATCCAAGGTCCGACCATATGACTAAAACCAACCAAATAGTGTCTGTGGAAAAACAGTCTGAGTGAACAGTATCATAAAACTGGTTGCAGTAGAGTGTGATGCATCACTCTTAATACGGACTATAACAACAGTAAGCTTTCGTTTATGTTTCAATGTGATATAAACACGACCCAGTTGCTTCTTTAAATGTCAGAAGACTGGTTCACTTAGTAGTAAAGGAGAAACAAAAACACGAAATATCACCTAGTATCTAGCAGAAAGACATGACTCACACAGAATTGCAAGAAAGATTAGAGAGAGATCCAACAATAAATGAAACGTTCTCGCTATCAGGGAGCAATCACCTCGAAAAAAAAAAGACAATCTGAATGATCAGTCTTTGATTTATCTTGAACTCTCTCATTTATGGTGAAAAGTGCTTGCCAAAAAACCTTAAAATTCAAGGCAGATGGAGACGTATTGTCTATATTGTCTGTCCATGTAACTACTTTGCAGGGTGTGGATGGATCTTCACCAAAATTGGTATATAGTCCATGAAGAGATTCATACAAATTTTCGGTTTCACATTTTGTGTTTTATAGTTTATATAGGCGTTTTTTTTGCATTTTTTACTGGGACATAAATGCAAATTTTTCCTTCAGTGGTGGGGCAGGAAATAGAGCCTACTTGGAGAAATGCATATATTATTAGTACAATATAATTTATATTTAGAAACCTTTATCATAAAACATATATTTATATTTAATTTTAAGATGAAAAATTAATCAGCATTTATCGTCATGTTACGTCTCTGGTCATTTGTTAATTTCCCGGTATAAATTCTTCCTGATGAACTTCTGTGATACAAGTCCTTTCTTAATTAAAACTAGTTTATTCTTTCTCAATACAACTTTGCAATACACTTAATTTCCACAGTCACTTTAATTTAACACACGCTAAAATTCACAAGATTCACGCACTTTATTTAGGGTCACTACCGCGCTTGACTCAATTGTCCGTCTCTATCTCTGCCTGTCTGCAATTATCTCTGCCGTCACTTCTTGCCGGTCTTATATATACAAATAGAGGGCGTCTGGCAAACACTCGAGCCTTCAAGAACCTTCTAGATACTCATTACGTGTTACCAGGGTCACGTGACTTCCTCTGTTGTAACACTGCCCATCCTTAGTATTGTTCGTCTCGAACAATAGCCACTTACATTTAACCAATAGATAATTAACAATAGCTTGATTAAATGTACAGAATTTACAAACACAAAATTAAAATACAGCAAAGTCTCTTAATGTTACAGGATATTTCTTCTTTCGTACTGGTCTCCATCTCATTGGCTTCTGCTTAACGTGGGGTTCATCTGCTCCATCAG